TGATGATGATGATGATGGTGATGGTGATGATGATGGTGGTGATGGTGATGATGATGGTGATGAGGGTGATGATGATGGTGATGATGACAGTGATGGTGATGATGATGATGATGACAGTGATGGTGATGATGATAATGATGGTGGAGTGGTGATGGTGATGTTGAAGATGATGATGATGATGATAAGGATGATGATGATGATGATTAGTCCGACTACAGAAAGACCCAACATTTTGAAAATTGTAAATAAAATAAGTCTTCACCTTTTTGATCGTGCGGTATCGAGCTTCGTATTCTAATGGTCATGTCTTCCCCAATTCCTTGCGTTCTACTGCTTTGTTCTTGATCATGCCTCTGGCCAGTCCAGGAATGCCTTTTATCTTTACCTCTCTGTCGTCGTTTTTTGGTTCTTTCACTTATTCGTTCATTGAACTCCCCGCCTCTTCCAGCGCGCATGGTAGTTACCCCACTATAATCAATGCCTTCTTCGATTTCCTCTTTCCTTCTTCTTTCATTGCGATCATGGCTCTGCTTTGGCCACGACTGTCTTTCTTTGTTTCTCTCGCTGAATTCTTCACGGAACTGTCCGACCGTTCCATCGTGAGTGCTGGTTCGCTTTCTGCATCTATCTTGTGAAAAGCGATTGTCTTGATGGAATTCTGGGTCGCCATCATATTTTACAACAAACGGRTAGGTTGGATTTAAGTAATTGTCCATCCGATCGTGTATGCATTCCTAAAGCGGTTGTATGAAGTATTTAGTATTTTGATAAACAGGATGGGGGATGGAAAGAGGCAGGTACGGATCAGTTGGTAAGCGCGCGACCTTCAGAGCTGGAGGTCCACGCGTTCGATCCTCAGGATCTCCACGTCTGTCTCGATTCCTCTCTAATCCCTCTTTTACTCCGACGAAGGACTAGCATCCGAAACGTCAGTAAGTTTTTTCATCTTTTCACGGTGTATAATTTACCCTTTTGTCATTACTGTTTCATTAGAAACACCGACGTAGCTCATACTAGTTTTTAGCTAGTTATTTCTTCTCTCTAATCCGTGTAGCTTCAGTTTTGAATACTCTTAAAACAGGAAGARTAAAGTACGCACCGTCGGCTTCCATTGATAGCAGTTGAAGTTCAACTGAAGGAACTACCCGCGTTAAATATTATAGTTACTTTACCTAGGTGGAGGTTATTTTTTCAAAGAAAAAAATTCATTACATGCTTCAGCCTTCCTACTAGACTCTTCATGAGTTTCCCACTCATACGATAACCATTCTATGAAATATTTGACAGAAACTCACGTGTCCATAGTGTCCTTCTTCTGAGCAGTTATAGCAATATACTGGTCCATTGAACTCCCCTGTCCTATTCACAACTGGCAGTTTCTTTGCATCTATCTGTTCGTTGTAGTAAGCATTATGAATGTCTAACTCACAAATAAAAATATTATAGACCTGTTTAGTTTGGGCGTAATGTTTTCCCATTTCAGACCACGTGTCATTTTCTTGAGCCATTTCAGACCACGTGTCATTTCTTTGTTTAACAGCTGCGTATAAGACACAGGACTATAGATACAACTCAAGTACAGGGCTACTGTAGTATTCTCAAGGGAATGACACATGGTCTAAAATGGAAAACATTAAGCTAGAAAGGTTTATCGATTTTGGTCATAACCATGAGACAATTCCACAATTACCACTGCTGTCTACACATGGTCTTAGTTAAGAAATCAACAAAGCAGACCCACTAACTAGTTAAAATAAGTCTTTATAAAATATGTGTTTATGAGAGCACATTGCATGCACTCACACTTTCCATTGCGTCATTCCTATCTATTATTGTACAGTTGTAATTTGTATTTTATAAAARATAATAAAAAACTTGCTTGCTGTGCCGTGTACAGTCATAAAGCACTTGGGGATTGGCAGAACACTCGAGAAGTGTCCAGAAGCACTCCGCTACGCATCATGCTTCTCATAACACTTTTCTTGTGTTCTGCCAACCCCCACGTGCTTTATGACAGCACACAGCACCTGCACACGTTTTCTATTTCTTCAATGCTTACTGTGCGATGATACTGTCTCCAGCGATCAGGACAATCCTGCAATAGTAAAAATGATAGATTCTAAGTCTGGTGTAGTGAGAGTACCAGACTTTGAGGGACGAGACAAATCCACAGGTAGCCCAACAGGTTCCCCCTCCCCTCTATGCCCCTGTAGGTTCTTCTTTCATAAATTATTATCATACCAAATTCGAAGCGATAAAACGTGTGAACATTGACTATTAGATTGTGTTTCACATCTTGAATCAAAGTTAGAGATCTACCTTGGAATGGTGTCCTAACATGTAACATCTACGACACTGGTCATCCGGCCGACTTCGGGGCTGCTTACAATTCTATAAAAGCAATGCACAATATTTCACAATAAATTTAAAGCTAACTAAGGAAATTATACTGAGTAGCTCCTTTGGCTGTGAGGATGCACCTTCCAAGATAGGGCGGGGCTGACATAACTGGTCAACAACTCCCTTTTACCCATAAGTCTTTTGAATGGACCTATTTACCATGGGTGTAATGTTTTCCTGTTTCAGGCCACATGTTATTTCACATAGTGTCATTGCTTTGTTTAACGGTTGCAAATCAGAAGACACAAATATGGAGACAACTCAAATGTTGGTATTGAATGGAAATGCCTTGATTACAAAGCTATTCTGTGCAGATTGATAGTCAAGTGAAGTTATTAAACCTGTGAAATACAGTAGATATTACACTACACGTAATGCACATTAGTAGACCCCAATTCCATCATTTGGTTGGGTTTTTTTTCCCCAGTTTTTTGTGTGTGTGTGTGTCTATTTGACTATATGATGACTAGTATTTTTTATTTCACAGGTTAAATGCCTTCATTCTATTGTATTTTCAGTTATAGGATTACATATCTATAGATAGCAAGATGGTCTCCTTACCATCACACGGTGTCCTGGTTCTTGACAGTTGAAACACAATTCATTAGGACATCGTCTCCTGATGTGTTCACCACCACACAGAAAGCAACTGATTTTCTGAAACAAGAAAGTAAACAGCTCTTATAATTGCTCCCTTTTTTGGGCCTCCTGTGCATGGGCAGCCCCCCAAAAAAGTGGAGCAGTCAAAGAATTAGGGCCAGTATCTGGAATTAGTTTTAGAGGCAGTAATTACTGTACCTTTGGTGTGGGACAATCTGCGGCCTTATGACCCTTTTCATTACAGTTGTGACATCTGAAATTTCCTTCTTTCTTGTAGTATCTTGACACTGGTCGTCGTTTACCATCAGCTAATAAATTTGTCTAAAATGATTTACAATATTCAATAATCAACATCCAGTAGAGTAAATTTTGTATGACTAGGCCAAGGTCAAGGTAACGGCGCGAGTTACACAAATCACAGCATGGAATATTTTATTATTGAATGGACTACTTTGAAGATATGGCAGCCATCTTGCCAGGGGACGAAACAAAACAAACATGATGGAAAATATAGAGTTACATATATGTGTGTTTATCTTTCTTTTATGGGTAAAGGTGATCAATGTGCCAATATGGCGGTCCTTGTGCCAGGGGGCAAAACAAAACAAACATGACAGAAAATATAGAGTTACATGAATGTGTGTTTGTCGTACTCTCTTGTGGTGAGCTGTTAATATTGATTGACATAATTACTGTAACAAAAATCTTTTTGCCCCTTGGATGCCCCCATAATGCCTCATGATCCAAGATGGCCACTGTATCATTGAAGTAGTTCATTAGCCATTCTGAAGTTGTGCAAGAGACTGGGTTGAAATTACAATCCTGCAATATGGGGAGTTCTGGGGCTTTTTAGTGGATGCCATTGCTCAGACACAATTTTAAAATGTGTTTTTAAAATACAGGTACACTGTAGCCACAGAATGAGCATTTCAAGGCACCACAATTGCCGCACAGCATGCTTATCGTAATTTTTTCCAAAATGGCTTCCCAATCTACACACAAACAAATGCTTCTTGTTTGGTAATATGAAAAATATAGACCTCTTTCAAAATAATCTAGGATTGTGAGGCTGACTGAAAAGAACAAAAGAAATAGTATTAATTCCATCAATAAACAGTGTATTCTCTTTTGTATTTTCCAGTTTGCCTCACACTTTTCAGAGGGAGCTATAACGATGCTAGACACTTTTACTTACTTTTAGATCTTCTTCAATCAAACTCCAGTTTTCTAGAAATCATTATAAATACAAGTCAATAACTATTAACCTAATTTATCATTTTAAGGCAAAAGATAATGTCTGTACCGTCCCAATAGAAGCTAGCAGCCTAAGGGGGCTTATCTATCTGTGCTTGTAATTCATTTCAGGTTTTGTAGCTCTCAAGAAAAGATTAAAAAGATTGGATTGGAAAAAATGTCAGTCCATCACTGAAACCTAGCCAGTGCACCTGTATCTTAACAAATTTCCTTTCATAGCTAGCATTTAAGTTGATTGTGAAAAAAACAAAGTGTCTTGGTGCAAAAAATTTTTTTTCCCATTTCAGACACTTTGTTTTAAAGTTGCACATGAGAAAACCCATGAATATCGATACGACTTGAATAAAGGATCTTATGCTCAAGAAAATGACATGTGGTCTGAAATGGGAAAACGTTACGCCCAAATAAAGAGGTCTACAATGTACTGTCAAATTGTATGACTCACCTTGTGTAGAGCCAGTGACTTCAACACTATGGTCATTGTCATCATCACTATTGCCTTCCCGATTGTCATTGTCATCATTGCTATTACCACTGCTACTGCCACTTTCTTCATCAATAACAATATATTCTACTGTCTTAACTGAATCTTCATCCTCATTTACATCATCTTGCACTTCCTTCATAGTAAAATTTGAAGTGACAAAATTAATCAAAAATTACATAATATTTATCATAATATGATATATAAGCTGTTGTGCAGCTAGTCCTCACATAAAAGTTAATAAAATAAAATGAAAATAAAACAAGGAATAAAAATGCTGTAGCTAAGTAATACCAGGAAAGTCTATCCTACCTTGTCATCTTGTGGTTTGGAATCAAGAATTAATGATGCTTCACTACCAGCATGACATGAATCAGCATCTCCATCTTTCAAAAAAATAAAACTTAGAAGAATGATTGAATGTTTTAAATAAGTCTTTTATTATACACACTATTTAAAGCTTTGTTAGTACATGTATTAATTTTCTTATTTCGATTATGGCAACAGGACCTCTTGAACATGTCAAACTACAATGTAACTTTAAACCAACAAATTTATTGAAAGTTATTGAAAGTTAAATGTATATTAGCAATACTGTACGCATACTACAGTGAGGTGTTTTTTGCTGCTTGGATAGTGTTATTATTAAGATTTAATGATACTAGTAATACCTTTGTCATCCAAGTCTTCTTCATTTGGCAAGGAGAAAGAATAATGCACTTGACTGTAAAGGGCGTCTTCTATCTCACTATCAATTTCTTCCTCACTATTCATAAACAGAAAAATAAGAATACAACAAAAACAAACAAAAGAAGAAGAAAAAAGAGAATCCATTGTAATTACAGATATGGTCTACGCTGTATGAGTAGTCCAGGTACGTAGGGAGGTCCGTCCTGATTATGGGAGCGGGGTCGGGATGTACTTATTTCTGCAAATCCACAGAAATCCTGCATGTGACCCCCCTTTATTTCTCCTGTATATTAATGACTTACCAAATTGTTTGGC